TACCAAGAATACTTGGATGGGTATAACCATCTAGACATTTACCAAGAATACTCTGATTGGTATAACCATCTAGACATTTACCAAGAATACTTGGATGTGTATAACCATCTAGACATTTACCTAGAATACTTGGATGGGTATAACCATCTAGTCATTTACCTAGAATACTTCGATGTGTATAACCATCAAGACATTTACCAAGAATACTTGGATGGGTATAACCATCAAGACATTTACCAAGAATACTTTGATGAGTATAACCATCTAGACATTTAACAAGAATACTTAAATGGGAAAGGTGTTGTAAAACTGGCTTTCTTATATCCATTACTACTTATCCACTGTTTTACCAAAATTTAACCTTACTGAAAGTATTTTCAATTTCTCCGCCTTTATTTGAATAACAATCATTTTTGCGTAGGTGGTTTACGGTGTCATTTCTGGCTTTATCTGTGCAGGCGTTCCATTTGATGTGTCAATAGCATTACACTTGGGTATTTTAGAAGAGCTTATCTATTTTCACGAAACTTTCGTGTCTCTGATTGTCCTGAATATTTTTTATCGCTAGGCATTGTATAAAGAAATTATCAACAGATATTAAGACAATTTCTATTTAAAAAAAAAAAAAGTATTTTCTCGAATTCATAGGAAGTAGTCTTTAAAAAATAATTGTGTTGCTCCGTAAAATAAGATGCGCTTATCACGTAGTTTCTCCCACTGAAGCATTTCTTCTGTACATTAATGAAAAAATGAAACAAACAATTGTAGAGTGCACCAACAGGGAAGGAGGGAAAGTAAGAGGAGACAAATGACAAAGGAATGATGCGCTCTAAATAAAAAATTTATTGGCTGCCTACTACTACTACTACTAATACTGTTGCACATTGGCAATGTTCATCTCAACATCATTTCAGTGGACTTTTTATTCAGCCATGTTGATGGAAATCCTATTTTTAAGGGACATTTTCAATGTCAAGATTCAGCAAACTTCTGATTCATATTTGTTTTGACAACAATGATACTAGGTCTCTCCTTTCTAGATCGTGACATAGTTGATCACATAATACGAGATGTATGAGAAGCATTCCTGAGTAATTTGGCGAGGTTTTCTGTTCAAGGGGAGGACATCAAAGTAGGTGACCAACTGGTTGGTTTCAGAGGTTGGTACAGATGTATTCAATATATGACAGGCAAGCCCGACAAACATGGATTAAAAATCTTTTGGGCCTGTGAATAGTCTTCGAACTATCCTCTGGCAGGATGCCCATATCTCGACTACAAAAAGTAAGTGCCTTTCAGCATAGAGAAATGTTGGAATATCCCTAGGCACTGTGATTTCTCTCCCAAGGGACTTGCATGGAAGTAGCAGCAATTTCAGAAAAGACTATTATTTCATGCCCCTAAAAATTGCAGAAACAATGGACAAGAACAGACTCACTCTAGTTGGAACGGTGAAACGGAACGAGATATTTCTATCCATGGGGTTCAAGCAAAAGAAGGCTCTGCCCCTCAACAAATCAGTGTTTTTGTTCAGATTAGAAACAACCTTGTCAAATACCAGAGCTCAAAGCAGAAAAAAATGTCCTGCTTCTGAACAAGATACACAATCGCCCAGATATCGAAAGTGACACTGAATGCCAGAAACCAGAGATTATGCTATTTAATAACAAAATTTAAAAAAGCCATATTCCCCATGGTTAAAAATTGCCTTTGGTGTGGTTTTTCAACATTTTTGACTTGTCATCAATCGCACCAAGAGCGGCATTTAACAATAAATATCCGACCAACTCACAGTCTCACGAAGACAACAGTCAGTCAATATTGACGTGGCACATGTCCTCACTCTTCCGCAAGTGGAGGCGATCCGCCCTGACGCATCAAGATATCGTGAGGCCGGACTTCGCCAGTGTTTGGCAATTTTTACAACCACTTCAAACAGCTGTCCAAACCACTTCCTCAGCAATTAGAAATATTTGCAAAGACAATTCTGTTCTTTCTTTTCTGTAAAAACTGCGCAAGCCTAGCCTCAAAGCACCTATTTTCCATGTGTACATGTGACTGCTCTGTTTTGAAATGGTTTGTCAATATGAATTCATGTTATTTTGGTTGTGCCCCAATGCATTCAGAATATTTATATATTGTCAAAATTTGAATTCTGTGACATGGATGACGCAGACTCAAATAATAAAAAAAAAAAAAACAATCAAACACAAATGTTCACAAACCAGTTTAGACACTTTTTCTTCTATTAAATAATGCAAGAGTGTTTTACACCCAGTTGCTAGGGACTGTAGATAAAAAGTTTAGGCCCCCAAAAATAAGTCAATTTCATATGCTTTATACAATGGCATCCTCCAGGGTGTTCATTCTACTTACATTGTGGATTAGATCGAATATGAGAAAGATTTTTAAAAGGAAACTCGAGATATCAGCAATCATAGTCTGCGTCAGAGTTTATCACACCCGGTTGAGGTTAAATGAGCTAATCCCTCCAAAAAAAAAAATCAATTGAAATACATTTTATAAACATTTCTAATTTATTGGATAGAATTATTTACATTTCATGGAGAATCTTAATGACACACACAATCAAACACACACAAAACTATTCACAATGGATTATATAAAATATCATGAGAAAAAAAAGTGTGGTTTGAGTATGTAAAATACTTCTTTGCTGCAATGTACAAGATATAAAGAGCCTTACAAATGTGAATGCTTTTTACTGTTAGGAGGGGAGTTATATGGTTAGGTGTAGAGACCAACCGAATTTCTGCTTCGGCTTCGGTTTCGGCGCCGAAAGTGGCCATTTTATCACTTTCGCCAAGTTTCGGTTTCGGCCGAAACTGAAAAGTTAACTTTCGGCTTATTTCGGTTTTGACCGAAAGAGAAAAGTTAACTTTCGGTTTTTCTTCGGTTTTGGCCGAAATTGACTTAGACTTTCGGCCATCCGGCCATCCGGCCGAAAGTGACTCAGGTTTTCGGTCATTTTAATACTCAGCGAAAGAGATATTAACAACAAACTAAGCCACATTTAAGAACAAATTAAGCGATCTTTGAGAACAAACTAAACGATCTTTAAAACAAATTAAGCGATCTTTATGAACAAACTAACCGATCAATAACAACCAACTAAACGATCTTTAAAAACAAATTAAGTGATCTTTTAGAACCAAATTTTTTAGAGACTTGGTTTAAAAAAATAATATTTTGCATTAATTTCCTCCCCCCCCCCCTTCCCCCCCCCCCCCCCCA